TATATATATATATATATATACACACACGTACATACATACACACACATACCTCCTACCTGTACCTCTCTATCTCACTCATAAACATTTTTTTTTTTTTTCTAATGTACAGACCCCGAATGATAAAAAGTGCATTTCTCTTCATTAAAGAATCTTTTCGGGAGGATGATACAATTTTACGCAAAATGCTGAACGTTTATTCAGCCTAATGCAACGTTTTTTTCTCGTGCTGCTCAGAACGCTGGGCAAATATAGGGTATGACAAGGTAGTAATGTTTTCAATTTTTTCCCCTTTTTTGTGTATAGTTCATATTAGATTTGTTTATAAAAAAATAAAATAAAAAACGTGCTCATAAATAGATGTGGATATCCACGTATAAATGCAAATGTAAATGCATTTAAGTGTTTTGGGTTTGTTTATTTTTTGTCTGTTTGTTTGTGTGTGTGTGTGTAATAATAACAATAATAATGAAAAAATAATAACCATAGTAATAATAATAAATCATGATAATGATGCTGATATTGATAACGATGATGATGCTGCTGCTGCTGATGATGATAACAATAATAATAATAATAATAATAATAAAATAATAATAATAATAATAATAATAATAATGATAATAATAATAATAATAATAATAGTAGTAATAATAATAATAATAATAATAATAATAATAATAATAATAATAATAATAATAATAATAATAATGATAATAATAATAATAATAATAATAATAATAATATCATCAATAATGATAATAATAATAATAATAATAATAATAGCATCAATAATGATAATAATGATAATGATAATATAATAATAATAATGATGATAAAAATAATAATTACAATAATAATAAAAGCTATATGAAACGACATGTATTTCCGACGGCGATATAAATCACTACCGGGTAAATAAATACATCTCTTGAGCTGTTAAGAAATTCAGCCAAATCCGAGCCATTTCTATATTTGTCGCAATGAACACTATTCGTCTTTTGGAAATACAGAACTCTGAAATTTAATTAATTCAGGACAGTAAGAGTCTTTCAGGTGTCTTTTTTTTTCTTTTACTTAGGTTTCGTTAGTATCATCATATTCATTATTTATTATCATTATCATCATTGCTTTTATTATTGTTATTAATATTATTATTATTATCAATATTATTATTACTATTATCAATACTATTATTATCATTATTATTATTATTATTATTATTATTATTATTATTACTATTATTATTATTATTATTATTATTATTATTATTATTATTATTACTATTATCATTATTATTATTATTATTATTATTATTATTATTATTATTATTACTATTATTATTATTATTATTATTATTATTATTATTATTATTATTATTATTACTATTATTATTATTATTATTATCATCAATATTATTATCATTACTCTTATTATGATATATCATTATACTATTATTGTTATTATTATTACTATTATTATTATTGTTATTATTATTATTATAATTATTACTATTATTAATATTATCATTACTACCATTATTATTATTATTATCATTACTATTATTATTATCATTATTATTATTATTAATATTATTATTATTATTATTATTATCATTATTATTATTACCATTATTATCATTATTATTATTATTATTATTATTATTATTATTATTATTATTAGCATTATTATTATTATCATCATCATTATTATTGTACTATTATTATTACTATTTTTATTGTAATGCAAAGAAAAAAAACTCGAATTTGGCCACAGTATCATTATTTCCAGAAAAAAAAAATCAAAAAAGGAATGAATAAATAGATGACTGAATACAATAAATAAATAAATAAATAAATGTATAGATTAATATATAAATAAAATTACACGAAAAAGAACAACAACAGAATAAATACATCAATGAAAAACAAAAACTTAAATAGATGCGTGGATGCAATTGATTTCAAATGAAAATGAGGAAATTCACAATTCATTATCAAAAGACAGCGAGACTAAAATCCATTATCAAAAGACAACGAGATTAAAACACTCAGCATAAGAATCCAGTTTTGAAAACAAGATCTGAAAATACTTCATAGAGAAAAAAATAAAACAATAAAAAACACTGGGTTGCAAAACACGCACACTTCCGCGTATGTTCATCGTGCATTGCAATTGATCTCAGAACTATCTTTTCTTTCTCTTTTCTTTATTTTTTTTTTCTTTCGCTTTGGTCTTTTTGCAGTTCTAATTCGTGTTTATTTTCTTTTTTATTTGTTTATTTATATTTTTAATTTGCGTTTTTTTGTTGTTGTTTTTTGTCTTCTTCTTCTTCTTCTTCTTCTTCTTCTTCTTCCTAAATAGATTTACGGATTTTTTGACGCGTCTCTAGAATTATTGTCTAAACGTCTTGTTTCATCCGTTTATTTTTATTGTATTTTTTTATTGCTTATCTTTCTATTCAATCTAGTATAATTATCAACCTTATTATCTTGTCCAGCATCCTCATGCACATTCCTACTCTATCCACATTCTTCATCCACATTCCTGTTCCACCCAGCATCCTCATCCACATTCCTATTCTATCCACATTCTTCATCCACATTCCTGTTCCACCCAGCATCCTCATCCACATTAATCCACATTCCTCCTCCATCCTGAATCCTCATACACGTTCTTCCATTTGGATTATTGATTCACCGTCATATCCTATCTGGCATCCTCATCCACGTTCCTCCTGTTTGCATTCGCATCCACATTCCTACTTCATCGAGCTCCCTCCTTTTTCCTCATTCGTAATCCACATTTCTATTCCATTCTCATCCATCTCTATTCCATTCTGCATCCTCGTCCACTTTCTTCCTTTCGAGCTCTGGTCCACATTCTTATCCTACTCAGGATCCTCCTCCACATCCTATATCCTATCCAGCATGCTCATCCACATTGTCCCATTCGAATTTGATTCCACGTTTCTATCCCGTCTAACGTCCTCAATCACAGTCTTCATTCGAATTCCAGTCTACGTTCATATCCCATTGAACATCCATATCCAAATTTCTAACACTAGCATCTTCATCCACAAGCATATTTGATTTTTTTATCCACATTCTCCCATTTCGAAATCTAATCCACATTCTTATCTTATTTATTATCCTCATCCACATTCCTATCCCATCCTGCATCTTCATCCACATCCCCCCCCCCCCACGCTCAGATCCTTATCCACATCCTACCCAGCATCCACGCCTATGTCTCCCTATCTCGCCAACGCGCCTCTCACTCCACTCACATCCTCCACATCCCGTTGCTCCCTGTCACTCGCTCCTTGTTTTACCCTGCCTCGCCCTACCTCTGTTTCTTTGTCTTACCCTGCTTTCTTAAACAACTTTCGTCTCTCTGTATTTTTTCTGCTTCTCTCTCCCTTCCTTACTTTGTCGCTTCGTATTGCCTCGTCCTACTTCGGTGTCCCTGTTTCACCCTGGGTCCTCACCCTGTCGGTTTTCCTGTCTCTTCACCCTCCTTTCGTCTCCCTTCCTTACCCTGCCACGGACTCTCCCTATCCCTGTCTCTTCCAACTTCTTTCTCCCCCCCCCTCCATCACCGTCTCCCTATCGCTGTCTCTTCCAACTTCTTTCCCCCCCCCCCCCATCACCGTCTCCCTATCGCTGTCTCTTCCAACTTCTTCCCCCCCCCCCCCCCATCACCGTCTCCCTATCGCTGTCTCTTCCAACTTCTTTCCCCCCCCCCCCCCCATCACCGTCTCCCTATCCCTGTCTCTTCCAACTTCTTCCCCCCCCCCCATCACCGTCTCCCTATCCCTGTCTCTTCCAACTTCTTCCCCCCCCCCATCACCGTCTCCCTATCCCTGTCTCTTCCAACTTCTTCCCCCCCCCCTCCCCCATTACCCTGCCAACCCATCTTGCCTCGCCCTGCCGCCTCACCCTCGTCCGTCTCCCTATCAGCCCCTGTCTCGTCCAACTTCTTTCCCCCTGCCTCCTTCCCCCCCCCCCTCCCCCTAGGAGCCAATCGGAAGCTAAGGTGTATTGAGTTTTGACGATCATTACCCGGCCAATTTATCGGAGCGAGGAGTCAGGGCGACCACCCGGAGGGGGACCTGAATCTGATAACTTTGGGACCTGAACTTCTTGGCGAGACCTGTGATGGCAGGGTGGGGGGGAGGGGGGGGGGCTAGGGGAAAGGGAGGGTGGGAGGGGGTGGTTGGAGGACTAGAGGCTGCCTCATCCTATCTCCTTGTGACTAGGACTTCTTGCTTAGATGAGAGAGAGAGAGAGGGAGGAGAAAGTAGGAAGAGGGGAGGAAATTGGGAAGGAGAAGAGGGGAGAGGGGAGAGGAAGAGGGGGCCTACAAGGTGCTTCATCTGAGGCCAGAAACCTTTGCCAAGAATAGAGATGGAGGGAGAAAATAAGGAAGAAGGTGTGTGTAGGAGGAGGAGGGAGGGATGGAAGGGAGGGAGGGAAGGGGAGAGAGGGAGGGAGGGAGGGAGGGAAGGGGAGGGAGGGAGGGAGGGAAGGGGAGGGAGGGAGGGAGGGAAGGGGAGGGAGGGAGGGAAGGGGAGGGAGGGAGGGAAGGGGAGGGAGGGAGGGAAGGAGAGGGAGGGAGGGAAGGGAGGGAAGGGGAGGGAGGGAGGGATAGATACCGAAGTCGACTATCTCCCAGGGACCAGAATGTCTTACGAGGATTCGTGATTGAGGAGGAAATTAAGGGAGAGGGAGAGATGGAGGGAGGTGAAAAAAAAAAACGATGATCCCACAAAGCATTATCCTTCACGACCCTCCCCCCCCCCAACTCTTCCTCCTCCTAAGAAAAAAAAATGTGGCGAAGGGGAAACTTACAAAGAAGAAATAAAGAGGTACTAAAAAAAAATCGAGTCCTAGGTATCTCCAAGAACCATGAAAGATTTTTTTAAAAAGTAAAAAAAAAAAAAAAAAATAGATAAACAGATAAAAATAAAAGTGAAAAAATGAAGTCGAACTCAGCCTTACCTCCGAGCGTGATCACCGACGTCCCGAGAGCTGAGTCCTGGTGTCCCTCGGCTCGACACTGGTACACGCCCACATCCGCCACACTCACGCCCTCCACCCTCAGGACACGCCCATTGCTGTCGGGCATCCTAATACGGGCGCCCGGACGTAGAATGGCTCCGTCCTTCAGCCACGTCACCTGGTTCACTGGAGATCCTGAGGGAGGAGGAAAGGAGATGAGAGACGGGAGGGAGAGAGAGACAGACACACACACACACACACACACACACACACACACACACACACACACACACACACACACACACACACACACACACACAGAAGAAAAGGAAAGAGAATCATGGTGAGGAAGAAGAGAGAGAGGAAAGGAAGACCAAGACAAAAGCAAAGTAAGAGAAAGAGAGAAGAGGAGAAAAAAAAACACACAAAATACAGAAAGAAAGAATAAAAAAACAACATAAAAAAACTAAAAGAAACAAACGAAAGGAAATCACAATAAGAAAAAAAAAAGAAAGACAAGGAAGAAAAAAAGAAAAAGAAAAAGAAAAAGAAGACATAAAAAAGAATAGAAAAAAAAGAAAAAAAAAACTAAAACCTGACCCAGCACTCCACGCCCCTCGAGGGATAAGAGACATGACTCACAAACTACGAGTCGGGAAAGAGATAGAGTAAATGGACGAGTAAAGGGGTTCCCGGATGCGACACCTGGTGCTTCTTGAGGTGGTCGTGGGCGGAAGGGGAAGAGAGGGGAAGGAGGCGAAAAGGAAGAGAGGGAAGGGGACAGGAAGAGGGAAGAGGGAGGGAGAGGGGAAGGAGGCGAAGAGGGAGAGAATGAGGGAGGGAAAGGAGGTGAAGAGGAAAAGAGGAAAGATGACAGGAAGAGGGAAGAGGGGGATAAAAGGGGGAGGGAGAGGGGAAGGAGGCGAAGAGGGGGATGAAAGAAGGAGGGAGAGGGAAAGGAAACGCAGGGAAAGAGAGGGAAGGGGACAGGAAGAGGGAAGAGGGAGGGAGAGGGGAAGGAGGCGAAGAGGAAAGGAGGGAAAGGGACAGGAAGAGGGAAGAGGGGGACGAAAGAGGGAGGGAGAGGGGAAGGAGGCGAAGAGGAAAGGAAGGAAGGGGACAGGAAGAGGGGGATAAAAGGGGGAGGGAGAGGGGAAGGAAGCGAAGAGGGAAGAGGGGGATGAAAGAGGGAGGGAGAGGGAAAGGGAACGAAGGGAAGAGAGGGAAGGGGACAGGAAGAGGGAAGAGGGAGGGAGAGGGGAAGGAGGCGAAGGGGGAGAGAGGGATGGGGACAGGAAGAGGGAAAAGGGAGGGAGAGGGGAAGGAGGCGAAGAGGAAGAGAGGAGAGGGGACAGGAAGAGGGAAGAGGGAGGGAGAGGGGAAGGAGGCGAAGAGGAAGAGAGGAGAGGGGACAGGAAGAGGGAAGAGGGAGGGAGAGGGGAAGGAGGCGAAGAGGAAAAGAGGAAAGATGACAGGAAGAAGGAAGAGGGGGATGAAGGAGGAAGGGAGAGGGAAAGGAAGCGAAGGGGGAGAGAGAAAGGGAACAATGAGGAAGAGGGGAAGGAAGCGAAGAGGAAGAGAGGGAAGGGGACTGGAAGAGGGGAAGAGGACGAAAGGGAAGAGGGGAAGCAGATGAAGAGAGATGGAGGAGGACGATGAAGAGGGAGGGGAAGGACGAAGGGGGAGGGGAAGGGGACGGGACACGAAGGGGAAGAGTGGAATGGGGCGAAAGTAGGGGGAGGAAGAGACTGAGGGGAAGAGGGAAGTGATATAAGGGACTAGGAAAAAGTGAGTGAGAGAGAGACAGAGAGAAAGAAAGAGAGAGAGAGAGAGAGGGAGAGAGAGAGAGAGAGAGAGGAGAGAGAGAGAGAGAGAGAGAGAGAGAGAGAGAGAGAGAGAGAGAGAGAGAGAGAGAGAGAGAGAGAGAGAGAGAGAGAGAGATTTAGGTTTAATTTGATTCCATTTGTCACAATGGATATTCTTGGTTTGACACTGTCTGTTTCATTTTGCTTCTGAGTTTTATCCCCCGTGTGCAAGGAATGGCCGGGGTTACCATCCTCCGGCGTCGAGGGATTTGAACGCAGGTCAGCGAGATTGCTAGACGAGATCGCTACCGCTGCACCACACAGAGAGAGAGAGAGAGAGAGAGAGAGAGAGAGAGAGAGAGAGAGAGAGAGAGAGAGAGAGAGAGAGAGAGAGAGAGAGAGAGAGAGAGAGAGAGAGAGAGGGAGAGAGAGAGAGAGAGAGAGGAAGAGAGAGAGAGAGAGAGAGAGAGAGAGAGAGAGAGAGAGAGAGAGAGAGAGAGAGAGAGAGAGAGAGAGAGAGAGAGAGAGAGAAAGAGGGGTGGGAGTGGGGAAGAAAGAGAAATAGAGAGATATAAAGAGAGAAAAAAACGAAGAGACGGAGAAAAGCAGTTATTCGTTGACGAAATGGAAAGATAAGACGTAAACCGCAGGGAAATGTTCATAGGAACCAGAACGAGGGAATAAAGGAGAAAGATAAGACAAAAACGGAATTTGGAAATGAGAGAGAGAGATGGAGGAAGGAATTGGTTTTACCTAAAGAGAAAGGGAACGAGGGAAGATATAGGAAACGAGATAGAAGATGAGAGATAAGGAAAAATAAAGAGAGATATCAGTCTCAGAGAAGAGGAAGAAAAAGACAAGAAGGAGAGAAAAAATGAGAGAGAAAACAAAGAAATTACGAAGCGAGGGAGAAACTTGGATATGGAGAAAAAGATAGAGAGAGAGAGGACAAAAAATAAGGGAAATTAGAAGCCGAAACAGAAGGAAATAAATAAATAAAAAAGTAAAGGGGAAAACTTGTATAAAAAAGAAGAAGGAAGAATTGGATAAAAATAGTAGAGTAAAGGGTAAGAATGAAAGGGAAGACGTTCAAAAAAGACGAGAGAAAAAGAAAATGTTAATAGCAAGACGATTGACAGGGAGAATAGGGGAGGAAGCTTAATAATGGAAATGTTACGAAAGGAAGGGGATGAGAAAATTAGAAAAAAGGTAGATGGATGAAAATGGGAAGAGAATGAAGATTAGATACGATACGATTCTAAGGAAACGAAACAGAGAGAGAGAGAGAGAGAGAGAGAGAGAGAGAGAGAGAGAGAGAGAGAGAGAGAGAGAGAGAGAGAGAGAGAGAGAGAGAGAGAGAGGAGAGAGAGAGAGAGAGTAAGAGAAAGTCAGAGAGAGAGAGAGAGAGAGAGAGAAGAGAGAGAGAGAGAGAGAGAGTAGAGAAGTCAGAGAGAGAGAGAGAGAGAGAGAGAGAGAGAGAGAGAGAGAGAGAGAGAGAGAGAGAGAGAGAGAGAGAGAGAGAGAGAGGAGAGAGAGAGAGAGAGTAAGAGAAAGTCAGAGAGAGAGTAAGAGAAAGTCAGAGAGAGAGTAAGAGAAAGTCAGAGAGAGAGAGAGAAGATACAGAAGGAAGTTGAAGAAGAGGAAGAAGTAGTAAAGACGTGAAAGAACCAGTGAGGGAAGGATGTGAGAGGGAAGTGAAAGGAAGCACGAGAAAGGAAAGAGAGAGAGCGAAGTGAGACAGCGAGGAACAGAAGGAAAGAATGAACGAAGGGGAGAAGAAGAGAGAAGACGAGGGAGTGAGAGAGAGAGAGAGAGAGAGAGAGAGAGAGAGAGAGAGAGAGAGAGAGAGAGAGAGAGAGAGAGAGAGAGAGAGAGAGAGCGAAGTGAGACAGCGAGGAACAGAAGGAAAGAATGAACGAAGGGGCGAAGAAGAGAGAAGACGAGGGAGTGAGAGAGAGAGAGAGAGAGAGAGAGAGAGAGAGAGAGAGAGAGAGAGAGAGAGAGAGAGAGAGAAAGAGCGAGCGAGGGGAGCGAGTGAGGGGAACGGAGCGAGATAAGACGAGGGCGTCACGAGAGGAAACGAGGGAAGGGGGGGGTCGGGGGTGGGGGCACCGGACGCCCCAAGCGACAACTTCCGTAATGGCTAATCAAAATGGCTGTTGCTATTTTGACGGGCGAGTACGCGGTTTGATTAGCTCTTGTCAGTGATTGAGGTAATCACGCCTACAAATTGATATCAAACCGCGTCTTGAGAATGGAGCCGCGCCACGTGTGTGCCTCTCGCTCGCTCTCTCGCGGTCTCGCTTCTCTCCGATCTCTCTCTCTCTCTGTGTCTTTCTCTGTCTATGTCTCTCTCTGTGTCTCTCTGTCTGTCTCTCTCTCTGTGTGTGTCTCTATCTCTCTCTGTCTCTCTGTCTCTTTGTCTGTCTGTCTGTCTCTCTCTCTCTCTCTCTCTCTTTATATATATATATATATATATATATATATATATATATATATATATATATATATATATATATATATATATATATATTGTTGCTGGAGGGATGAGGTTCAACTTACTTTTCTAAAATAGCTGTGCAATAATTTCTAATAGACTTTATAGTTAAATATCTTACAAAAGCAAATTATTATATGTATATCATTTTCTATCGATCTTGTTTTATCTTAATTAAACTCAAACAAAGCGGGTTAGTTTATATTCATTACGTTTTGCCGCTAATAACCCACAAATGCTTTAATTCAAAGACTTTTTATTCAAACCATTACTTTTCTCTCCTGAAGACAACCCTTATGAACAATTCTTTTCTCTCTAAAGAAAACTCGAATTAGAAGAAAAGCAAGTCTTTTAAGTTGAAATATTGACTTTGTCTAATAATACCAAAGCTGTAATGATATGTTTGCGAATTATTTCGAAAATGTTTCATCACAGGATCTTAATAAACTTTCCCCAAGGTGTGACTGGTTAAAAAAATTGCTCTCCATTTAAATACTATATCATATATCAACTGTTCTGTGCAGGTGTGAGATCTAATTCGATATGATACAGATGAGGTGACGCGGGTGAGATGACCTAACTTGACATGATATATAAATAAGATGACCCAAGTGATACGACCCTCCTTATCCTAATACGAGTGAGATGACCTTACCTGAGGTGAGATGGATGAAATAACTCCTACTTGGAATGACACA